TTTACTAAGATTATTATTAATTACTGTAATTGTGTTAAAGAGGTTGTTAGACTTTGTTCAAAACTTTTGAAGGATTAGGTTGCATTCAGAAAGATGTTTGCTGTTTGTTCAAATTATTTAAAATGAGCTGATACAACATTATTCTTGAGGTGCTTGAGAGGACAACCTAATTGTTTTAATTTCAATCCACATCAACTTGTCAAAACTATTAAGTTAACCAAATTTCTTCATGTTGTTGCAACATAAAAAAAAGAAGTGAAAGAAAAGTTTTAAAAAAGTGTGTTAAAAAAATGCGATTACCATTAATTATTACAGTTGAATCTCCATCCTGTTTGTCTTACTGAAAGCCTTTTTTATAGGATTCATTAAGCTTGTATCAAATTATTTTCCCCCTACAAAACCCTCTAAAAAGCTTTTTCCCCCTAAAAAGTCCATCTAGTCCTATTTCCTTCTTTTATTGCCTGTATATCCACATATGCAGTTTCGCTTTGCTGAGATTATTATTAATTACTGTAATTGTGTCTGTATTCTGTTTAAAACAATGTGGTTGCAAGCTTTTGTTCAAAAGTTTTGAAGGATTAGGTTGTATTCAGAAAGATGTTTGCTGTTTGTTTAAATTATTTAAAATGAGCTAAAAACAACCTTATTCTTGAGGTGTTTCAGAGGACGAATTAATTGTTTTAAGTTCAATCCACTTAAAGAAAGAAGGGAAAGAAGAGTGTAAGTTTCATCAAGCTTTTTTCGAAAATAAAATCCTTACAAAACAAGTCCATCTAGTCCTATTTGCTTCTTTTAATGCATGTATATCCGCATATGTGGTTTCACTTTAGTGAGATTATTATTAATTACTGTAATTGTGTCTGTATTCTCTTTTTAAAAATGTGGTTGTAATGCTTTGTTCAAAAGTTTTGAAGGATTAAGTTACACTCAGAAAGATGTTTGCTGTTTGTTTAAATTATTTAAAATGAGCCGAAACACAATTCTTGAGGTGTTTGAGAGGGCAACATTGTTTCATGTTCAAATTTGTCAAAACTATTAAGTTAGCTTAATTTGCTCATGTTGTTCCAACATAAAGAAAGTAGTGAAAGAAGAGTGTTTAAAAAGAAAAATGAGTGTTTGCGATTACTATTAATTATTGCTGTTGAATCTCCATTAATCTTTTATCAAATTATTTTTCCCCTACAAAAGTAATTCCATCTAGTCCTATTTCCCTCTTTTAATGCATGTATATCTGCATATGCGGTTTCACTTTACTGAGATTATTACTAATTACTGTAATTGTGTCTGTATTCTGTTTAAAACAATGTGGTTGAAATCCTTTGTTCAAAACTTTTGAAGGATTAGGTTGCACTCAGAAAGACGTTTGCTGTTTGTTTAAATTATTTAAAATGAGCTGATACAACATTATTCTTGAGGTGTTTCAGAGGACAACCTTGTTTTATGTTCAATCCACTTTAACTTGTCAGAACTATTAAGTTAGCTTAATTCCTTCAGGTTGTCCCAACATAAAGAAAGAAGTGAGAGAAGAGTTTTAAAAAAGGAAAATAAGTGTTTGTGATTACTATTAATTATTGCTGTTGAATCTCTATTCTATTTGTCTTACTGAAAGCCTGTTTTTTTAAAATAGAATTCATTAAGCTTGTATCAAATTATTTTCCCCCTACAAAACTAATTCCATCTAGTTCTGTTTCCTTCTTTTAATGCCTGTATATCCGCATATGCGGTTTCACTTTACTGAGATTGTTGTTAATTACTGTAATTGTGTCTGTATTCTCTTTTTTAAATTGTGGTTGTAAGCTTTTGAAGGATTGAGTTGCACTCAGAAAGATGTTTGCTGTTTGTTTAATTGATTTTAAATGAGCTGAAACACAATTCTTGAGGCGTTTAAACCAATGACCTTCTTGCTGTGAGGTGACATTGCTAACCACTGAGCCACAGTGCTGCCAACTCAGCCTTTTTTTACAGTGTAAACAATGATATGGCATTATGTTTTTATGTTATTTAACTTTTGTAAATAAGTAAATCAGGTTTAAGTTTAAATGGTTTTACTTATACAAACTTATATATATATATATATATATATATATATATATATATATATATATATATATATATATATATATATATATATATATATATATATAGTTTAGCCAGTTTAATTTATGTAAATTGAGATGACACAAGAAAAAAAAAGACAGCACATTTTTTTCCATTGTATCAAATTTATTTTTATCTTTGTCTCATCTTTCGCTCTTTTCATGTTGCCTGTATATTCACAAACAAAAAGAAAAAGGGTCATGCAGAGAGCAGATTTTGTGTGATGCATAAATAGGTTTGTGTGATGTGCCCTTAAACCCTGGAGTACCAGCTGTTATTAAACTCTTATATGTGAGCTGTGATTAAAGTCTGGCTTTTCAACCTGTTCTGATTAAACAAACGGAACCCTTTAATTACATTATTTAACACAATGCACCATAATGTAGCTCCCTTGGTAAACAAACTAATCTGGCTCTGAATGAGATGTGTTTGCCTTTCATCCCATTACTTACAATCAAATATCTGAATGAATTAGGGAGTAAGTGACAGAATGATCAGGAGTAGGCGAATGAATAAATGAGTAAAGAAACTAAGTGAGCAGAAGTGGGTGTAGCATCCAGAAACCACTCAAATAAAAGTACTAGGAGTAATTAGTCAAGTGAAAGTAAAAGAAAACAGTGATTCATTTACTGTATGAACAAAGCCTCTCTTATGCCATGGAAAAGAAACAACATTCTTAAATTAAACTACAAGTTTCTTTACTCGTATTGCCAGCCTAATCTCACAAGGAAACATAGGTATTTTACGTTTTGTCTGTTTAGAGGTTAATAAAATGTACGATTTCGAAAATGGAGGTGTGGCACCCAACCCCGCCTGTAAACCCAATCGTCATTGGGTGATGTGCAAATCGTACTAAATTGTACGATTTAGATAGTATGAATTCATACGAATTATCCACTAAATAAAAAAATACAAATTGCCGTAAGATTGCATTAGTATTGCATTAGTGTGATGTAGAGCTGTAATTGGGCCATAAAAATTAAGCACGGTAGAGACCGAGCCCGACAAGCACATTTAAAATCCCGAACCCGTTAACAGTTCGACATTATGGGGGTTGGGGGTGTTTGACTTCGGCACGAATCAAGGCAACTGGACATAGTGTGAGTTATGTATATAGTATATATAGTATAGTAGTGATGTTATAGTATATAACAGCTACAACTACAAATCAAATAAAACCAGGTGTTAAACATTTCAAATACTATAATAATTACTAGTAAAGGAAAATATTCAGAAATAAGCATTATATTGTATATATATTTAAAATTCATTAATAAATTACACTGCATAATGTAGTATCATTAGTAACTATCATGAACAAATAGTCATTACCATAGTATACTTCAGCCTTTACTACTGTAAAGTATATACATAGACCTCCTCTCTCTTGTGTCAGCCTTGGTTGGCGACATCACCGACCAGAGCGAGAAGTGTCAAGCCTCCTTTCCAATGCACACGACAAACGACAAGTGACAGACTGGAAGTCATTCATTTCCCATGGAGAGTAGTCCAGGAGCTGCGTGGAGTTCCGATTATCTTTGTATGCGGAATGTTCGGATCAGCCCTGAGCTGCAGATCCGTTGACATATTTAAACTCCTGCGACTAGACCGTATGCGACCGGCCGACCGTATGTGATGTATTCCAGTGTTGTACAAGCAGGTCTGTGCGCGCGAGATGAGAAATAGGCGTTTTTTGGGTTATTTTTTAATTAGAAAAACTCTATTTTAACAAGAAACACTTCTGTTTATAAATGTAAGTAATAAAAAAAATAAAAAATAAAAAAATATATATATAAATATATATATATATATATATATATATATATATATATATATATATATATATATATATATACATACATATATATATATATACATATATATATATATATACATACATATATACATACATACATATATACATACATACATATATACATATATACATACATACATATGTATATATATATATATATATATATATATATATATTGTTGTCTCCACATTTCCTCCAATATTTTTAGCAGTCTGAGTTTCTAGTATTCATTCAACCACTGTGTACGCACAGAGAATATAGGCTCTTGCTTTTGCACTTCTTTATATCAGACACTACGAGAACAGCTTCTCTAACATGGTGCACATCAGAACTAAAAATACTGTGCGACTGCCACAAGGGGGCGTATTCCGACAGTCTTGTCCAAATGTCATGAGCAGTGGAAAGACGGCTTCAGTAACGCACCAAATAGTTTGTTGTCGACCACTGAAAAACAGATAGAGGAAGAAATCATCATTCTCGCCATCACATGGCTTTATTTTCATTGGCTAGACACCAGCCTCACAGCTCTGTGAATGTCGGTGCCGTCACTTATTGATCAAGGATCGGTAGCTTGTGTGGATGCTAATGCACTACTTGACTTAAAAAAAAAATAAATAATCGCTTTGCTACTGAAAAGCTAATTGATTTAGAAAGTAGCACCACTGCTGCCACGCCACTGAGAAATGTAATTATAGCAGAATAGCAGCGCTTTAACAACATATCCCAGATTTTTAAAGAAAATTTTTAGATGTAACCCCATTTGTAATCTTTAACATTTTCATAAGTTACTAATTCAATTACAATAGAAACTGTAACTAATTACTGTTACATTTATTTTGTAATTAAATTACGTAACACCGCTACATGTAACTGCTCCCCAACACTGCAAATGTATACCAATCACAACAACACGTTGCAAAAACTCTTATGGCAGACGGCTGCTTCTCACTTAGGATTGTTAATGCTAATGAGGGAGAGATGGTCTATAATGGGCGGGGCTTTTCTCCTCCGATGACACGTACAAAGGGAGAATGTCAATCAAAGTGTTTCTGCAGACTGTTTTAATCAAGTGTGGTCATAAAAATAATTAATTAACACATTTTTACCATTAGAGGCTGGCTATATTCACACACTGCTACCGCACAACTGTGTTCAAACCACTCATAAAAGTGATTTTTGCACAATAGGTCCCCTTTAATGGATGACAAATTTTCCACTCCTGATCGGAACAATCAGACGCCTCTTGTAGTGCCCAGATGTTCCCGTGTTGACTAAGCAAAATATGGAGAAAAATGCAGCTTTGGTTATTTATAATCCACTATTTATGGCTCACAGTGTGTTAAATGCACACTTACCAGCAGAAGATGAAGCGTCAGCAGCGAGAGCAGCCGAAGCATAAACCGTGCGCTTGTTCAGAGATTGCTGCGGCCGATAAACATAGCCAAAAGAAACCGTCTGGAATCTGAGCAGCTTCAGAAAACAAAAAAAAAAGTGTCACAAGAACTGTAAAACATCTCGACACCTTGCGTAATTTTACAGATGACACTGATTGAGTAGAGTAGTGTGTGCTGTGGTCACATGATCAGATCACACGTGTGCTGTACCTGCTGCCAACAGGAAGATTAGCGAGATTAGAAGAAGTGATGGAGGAAGAGATACGAGGCAGACAGAGAGCGAGGAGAGTGAGTGAGATGGAGGATAGACAATGTGCTAGTAATATGACTAAGATGAACAACCGATATGCAAGTCACCTGAGCGGAATACGCAAGTGGGTGTCCATAAGCAGAGTTATGTACAGTATACAGGAGATACACTTATTTCCTCTCTGTCAATCTCTCTCTTTCAATTCAAATCAATGGTTGCTTTATTGGCATGACAAATATTACAAATGTATTGCCTAAGCATTTATAAAGTTTACATTAAAAACAAAACAAAGTTAAAGTCAGAATTATTCACCCCCCTTTTATTTTTTTTTTTATTTTTGAAATATTTCCCAAATAATGTTTAACAGAGGAAGGAAATTTTCACAGTATGTCTGATAATATTTTTTCTTCTGAAAAAAAGTCTTATTTGTTTTTTTTAGCTAGAATAAAAGCAGTTTTTAATTTTTTAAACACCATTTTAAGGACAATATTATTAGCCCCTTTAACCTATATAGTTTTGGTCCCTTAACAAGTGGGAGGCACATATGTAAACTGTTGTAATTCCTATGTTTTTCGATAATTTACAAAACAAACCATCGTTATACAATAACTTGCCTAATTACCCTAACCTGCTTAGTTAACCTAATTAACATAGTTAAGCCTTTAAATGTCACTTTAAACTGTATAAAAGTGTCTTGAAAAATATCTAGCCAAATATTATTTACTGTCATCATGGCAAATATAAAATAAATCAGATATTACAAACGAGTTATTAAAACTATTATGATTAGAAATGTGTTAAAAAAAATCTTCTCTCTGTTAAACAGAAATTGGGGAAAAATAAGCAGGGGGGCTTATAATTCTGACTTCAATTGTAAATAATAAAAACACAGTAAATAGTAGTAGTAGTATAATTAAAATATAAATCAAATAATATATCATATTATTCAAAATGTATCAAGAAAAAATAATAAATCAGAACAAACAGTACATTTAACAATCAACATTTTAGGATAAAACAGTTGTACAACAATAATAATCAGTATATTTACAGTGATTCAATTATAATAATCTAGTCTGTGTGTTTGTGTGTGTGTGTGTGTGTGTGTGTGTGTGTGTGTGTGTGTGTGTGTGTGTGTGTGTGTGTGTGTGTGTGTGTGTGTGTGTGTGTGTGTGTGTGTGTGTGTGTGTGTGTTTGCAAATGCATCAATGAGTTTTTTTATTGGTCTGTTTGACTATATACACCAACACAATGGATTTGAAATGAAATGAGACGTGCTTCAACTGCAGACTGTCAGCTTTAATTTGAGAGCATTTACATCCAAATCAGGTGAACGCTGTAGGAATTACAACAGTTTGCATATGTGCCTCCCACTTGTTAAGAGACCAAAAGTAATTGAACAGAATAATAATGATAAATCAAACTTTTAATTTGTATTGGAAATCCTTTGCTTTCAATTACAGCCTGAGGTCTGGACCGCATTGACATCAGCAGACGCTGGGTTTCATTCCTGGAGGCCTCTACAGCAACTGTCTTCAGTTCCTGCTTGTTCTTGGGGCATTCTGTCTTCAGCAAGTGAAATGCATGCTTAATCGGATTCAAGTCAGGTGAATGACTTGCCCATTGCATAACATCCCAATTATTTCCCTTCAAAAAACTCTTTGGTTGCTTTTTGGTTGTATGTTTTAGGTAATTGGTTCCTTCTTTTTTTATTTGCATTTGTTTTCAATACTGTCCCAACTTTTTCTGATTTTGGGGTTGTATGTAATTGTAATTAAGTGAAGTTTATTTATTCCTAGATGGGGGACACAGTGGCCCTGCAGTGCGTAGCACTGTTGCCTCACAGCAAGAACGTCTCTGGTTCCAGGCTTTACCAAACTAGCAGATGTTTCTGTGCAGAGTTTGCACTTTCTCCCCGTGCTCACGTGGGTTTCCCCCAGATTCCCCGGTTTCCTCCCACCGTCCAAAAACATGCAACTTAAGTTAATTTACTTATCCAAATCGACACAATAGACATGCTTCCAGTATGCAGTTATCTACCAAGAGCCATCACTTGCTGTTTATTGGTTACTACAGCAGGGGAGTTCTCGAGATCTAACTGAGCTCAAACTCCTCTCCCGCCTTGCAATGGGAGGGAGCCCCGGGCTCGAAAATCTTATGAGCTCAGGGCTCTCTCCCAGGACAGCATGCCAAACAAGCTTTATAATCAATCATCAGCTAAGTGTGACCTCTTGAGCGTGCCTTTAAATGTGTGTAAATTCATGTGTAATAATTGTACCTGATCTGTGCTGATAATGATCGGGTCTTTGAAGACGGTCCACTGCACAGCTTCATCACAGGGTGGAGTGGTCAGAGAGCCGCTGTAACGGTAATACCTGCTAAGATCAACTCCCGTTAAGAGCTGCTGGAGGGAAATATCATCCGTAATTCTGACTGTGTCTCCTAGTAAAACAACAATGAGGCAGATGTCATTAATGAGAAGTGGTGTAAAGTAACAAATTACAAATACTCAAACTACTGTGAGTAATTTTTTCAGAAAAGTGGAAAATTTTTCATTTAAAAATGTGTACTTTTACTTTCTCCTGAGTGCATTTTTAGTGCTGTATCGGTACTTTTACTCCACTATTTTCCTTTAAACTGCTGTCACAAGATGTCAACATAACGTCAGATTGATTGTGGGGATGCTGCATTTTGTTTGCAAATGAAAATCCGGTTAACGTCAGAACCCAACGTCAGGCCGACGTCAATGTCCAACGTCCAACCTAAAACCAACCAAATATCAACGTCTAATGATGTTACAGCTTGACGTTGTGTGGACGTTACCACTATGACATCAGATCTATACCTGACGAATAAATATCGACATTGACATTATTCGACATTGACATTTCGTTGGTTTAAGATTTTGGCTCAACGTTGGATTTTGGTCAGTTTCTAACACAACCTAAGATCAACCAAACATCAACATCATTTGACATTGTTATTGGACATCAAAATAACATTGTCCTTAGACGCTGGCTAGACATTGAATTTTGGTCACCTGACCTCACAACCTAAATCTAACCTAATAATAACGTCATATGATGTTGTGTGCCTGCTGGGCAATACCTAAATGCACTACAGAATGTTACGTTTACACACATCCAAAAATTACATGTAAACGCATCAGCTTTTTACAGTGTAATACTCACTAGTCGCTACTCTTGAGTACTTTTGAAAGGTCTACTTTTTACTCATACTTTGAGTAATATTAACAACAGATACTTTTACTCTACTTGCACTACATTATTGGGCAAGTAATGGTACTTTTACTTAAGTATGACTTCTTCGACCTCTTTCCACCCTTGTAATGAGGGCACATTTACATAACAACAATGTTCCTAAAAGCTTCATATGCATATAACAAACTTTAGCAAATTTTAAAAAAGGGTGCTAACAATATTGACCTAAAATTTAACTTTACTCGGAAGACAAAAATACAATATTGAATAAAGCAAAACTTTTTTTTGCTCTGTTAAGCATCACATGGGAAGCAAAAAATAATTGAAATATCACAGGGTGGTGAATAATTTTGCCTTCAACTATATATGAAAACTTTCCAACATACATAATACTAAATCATGTGGATTTCTGCTGAAGCGACTGCATTTCACTTGTGAAAATTGAACAAATAACAGTATATGAGCACACTATACACTTTGTTGACATGGCTAAATGCAGTCATATCCTGTGGGACCATCAGGGGGAAATATATATTAAATTATAGCTATTTAACTATTGTACAAGTTTACAATTGAACTAATGTGACCTAGTGTTCATATGGGGTGCAGTTCAGTTGTTAAATTATTTACAAATAAAAATGAAGCATGTTTACACCAAAGATGATAAAGTTTGACAATTGTTCCAATAGATAAATCTGTCAAAATCATGTGTTGGTGGACATTATTTTAGCAATTGATGCAGTTATCATTATGGATATATTGGTCAAGGTGCATAAGATAACAAAGATTTAATTGAATTCTCTGTTACCTTTTCTAGGTATTTTCTGGAGATACTCCATGAAGTTTTCCCAGACTTGTGATGTAACATTTTCTTTTCCATCCTGAAGCAAGAAAGGTTACAACCATAAACACAAATGCACGACAAATAAAATGTCATAATAAGCTGTATCTCATTACATTCTGAGGTTTTCTGAGGCTAACTAACTTACAGTGCAAAAAGAAAGAAGGAAATGACAGTGATTTTCAGTGCGAAAGGAAAGAAGGAAATAACAGTAATTTACGCATAATTTCTCAAAAGACATCCTTGATGGTGCATTTGGCCAACAAATGCATCTTCCGGCTTAAAGAAATCCCTAGGTACTTTAAAAAAGCCTTTGTGAAAGAAGTAAACTATAGGAGGACAGCTTCTATTTTTAGAGGTAATAAGACGTAATACAGAACAATAAACAAAACAGCTGAACAAGACTTTCAAAGGGCACCTATTTTAGCCCTTTTTCAAGATTTAAGATAAGTTTTTGTGTGCCTCCAGAATGTGTCTGTAAAGTTTCAGCTCAAAACACCCATCAGATATATGTACCTGTATATGTATGTGTATATGTATGCAAGTATATAGCTGACTTATTTTCCCTGCCCCTGGCTTAGTTATGAATGGAGAGTCTGTTTATTTATTTTTATTTATTTATTTATTTTGATATTTATTATTATTATTATTATTATTATTATTATTATTATTATTATTATTATTATTATTATTATTATTATTATTATTGTTGTTATTGTTATTATTTTATTTTCTACTGCTGTGCCCCTTGTGTATTTGTATTTTTATATTTGTGTATTTATATATTTACTGTATTGTTGTTTGGCCTAATATGTGTTACTTTTATCTATAATGTTATTTTTTTCTGTCTTATCTTATTATTATTATTATTATTATTATTATTATTATTGGCTGTTCATTCCGCTGTGGCAACCTCAAATTATTAAAGGGACCAAGCCGAAAATAAAATAAATGAATGAATGAATAATAATAATAATAATTATTATTATTATTAATGTTATTATTATTATTAATAATAATAATGATATTGAATGATAAAATTAAAAAAATGTACACAAATTAATAACAAAAAGAATGACTTGATGTTAGATTTCATGGAGGATTTTTTTTTTTTTTTGCTGTAGTCGATGATTTGTGTGTCAGTTTTTTTGCAATTATTGTAATGGTCTTGGATATAGTTTGTGTCTGAATTTGTATTTTTACTTTGTGTAGTGTTTCAATGCTTATAATAAAAAACAAATAAATCAAAAACTTCCAAAATAATTCCACAACGAACAACGCCCTCTAGTGGACGAGCACTGCAAACGCGACTCACAATGAAAAAGCCCATCACAGCAAACCCGTCTGGAACTCTAGACGCAGCACTATCATTTAGATCAGTTCTGCGGCTTACGATGTGCATCTGCAAAGAAAAAAATAAAATACAAATAAACAACACGAGGCGTGAGTGTGTCTGCACAACACATTTAGATGATGTGAAAACTATCATGCCTCCAGTCGTCTCTCACCTCGACAGGCCATCTGTGTCTGTTCAGAGAGTGCTCGGAGCCGGGCTGCTGCCTCGGGTCTCTTCCTCCCCAGTGAAAGTGGAACTGAAGGACGGTGTATTTGTGTTTCAGACCTCCTCCCTGAACTCCCACAACTCCTGCTTTCAGCTTACATTCAACTGCAGGAAAAAAAGGAGAGGAGGACGCAGAAACGATGTAGGCTGTGTGTGCAATACAAAACGATTTTCTTACACCCTGTCCGAACTATTGGGCTAAAGTTGGTTTTATTTTCGCACGTTCGTTCATTTTTGACCAGTGACAATTTGTGAAATGCTAATACTGGATCTGAAACTGCATGTAAGTGTGACTTCAAAACAACATTAGCACTAAGTAAAGAGCCCCTATTATGGGTTTTTTAAATGATCATCCATGCAGTGTGCAACAGCTCTAAGGGCGTACTCACACTATGCCATCCGTACCGTGCCCAGGCCCGTTTCTCGTATCGTTTGAGAAGTGTGAGTGCGCTGAATCAGGCTCAAGCTCGATTCACTTGGCCGGCCCTGGCCCGGTTGGAAGAGGTGGGCTTGAGCGCAGTACGCTTGTGTGTGAGTGCAAAACGCGCCAAAGCCCGAAACTGAAAGCAAGACATGACTTTTCAGGGGCTTTCATATGGATTTATTAATCATTCTTACTGTTCAGTGAACGCAAACTGCTGCAGATTATTAAAGACGCAAACTCCTAACATCTGCGCACCTTCAGCAGACCTCCTCATTCCTGCAGCACGAGGGCTTTATGATTGTTTATGAGCGCCAAAAGTGCCGGATCTGTTCGGCGAAATATCTGACTGCGTGTCACCGCATCCCTAAGGACTGTTTGGCGATATTGCAATATTCGACTGCATGTCACTGCATAACAAACGATATAACTAGAGAAATCTCCTCTGTGCTGCTGAGTGAGAGAGCGCTTTGCACTGAACAGCGCAGCAGCGATGACGTAAGCGTGCCGAGGCCCGATTGTGGTGTGAGCGCAGGCCGTCGGTGGAGGCGTGAGGGGGGACAAGCGTGCTTTGGCCCGGTTCGAGGCAACTGTACCTAGTGTGAGTACGGCCTAAGTGAATGAAAACCTCCAGCTGAGGATCAAATCTAAAAGTGCACCTAGTTTAAAAGTATACATTTTTTAATTAAAGATTCGACTCGAGATTTGAGATTTAAGGTTTGTCATTCGTCGAGATCTTTTGCCTGTTTGTATCAATGTCAGGGGCAGATTGGCCATCTGGCAGGTGCCAGAAGAGACAGTCAGAAATGCCAACTGACCTAGCCAGGGCTTGAACCAGTGACCTTCTTGCTGTGAGGCGACAGCACTACCTACTGCGCCACCGCATCACCCTTAATTATTATTATTTAGAAATTATTTGATCATTTCTTATTTATGATAATTAATCTTATTTACATATTTATTTTTATATATTTGTGCATGAGTTGCGGCAAGGCCAGAAGGGCATCCTTCCTGAAAACATATGCCAGAGTAAATGGTGGATAATTCCGCTGTTGTAACCTCCGATACAGGGGTTTTCAAAGTGTGAGGCGCGCCTCCCCTGGGGGGCGCCAGAGCATGTCAGGGGAGGCGCGGGAAAAAATATTATATAATAAAAATATAATTATTAAGTTTAATTATTATATGTATTTTTTATTATATTTAAACGTTTTAATTAAACAAAGCTAAAAAAAATAATACGTCTGAAATAAGAAAACCTTTTTTACCCAGAAGGCCATAGCTGTGAATTCGCTTCTGTTTGGCAAGCCCGCCAATACAGGTATATGCCTGCTAATTTACAGTCTATGCTGCTAATACAATGGATCGGTTTCTGAGACCCCCCCGTTTCAAAGCCTTCAAGTTCAGGGCTTAAACCCATGATCAGTATTTCAGTTTAGGATTTACGTGGACAGGACTAGCTGATGAACCACAACCTTTATGTGTGGTTTGTCAAGACATTTTGGCTAATGACAGAATGAGACCCGCTAAACTTCGACTGTTTTGACTGGGATGGACAGTTCTTGGATCTGTTCTATTCATATTGAACAATCTTCTCAGTTTTAAAAACGTCATATTAAAATACTTGTTATTACTCTGTAAATAATTGCACTTTCATGCAAATGATGATAAAAGTGAGTTAAGAGTCTGACATCTGTCTGTGTCTTTATATATATATGTGTGTATGTATGTGTGTGTGTGTGTGTGTGTGTGTGCGTGCGTGCGTGCGTGCGTGCGTGCGTGTTTGGGAGGAGGGGGGCGCCAATGGATAAGTTGTGTCAAAAGGGAGGCCCACTGTCTTAGACTTTGAAAAACCCTGCTCTGATAAAACAGAGAACAAGCCAAAGGAAAAGTGAGGGAGTGTGAGAGTAAATGAGTAAAAAATAAGTGGCTACAACAGAATCGTCAAAATTAAGTGAGTTTTTCCTCACAAGCAAAATAATCTGCAAAGGAGTAGAATAGTCTTGTTTTGGTTTGACATAAGATTATTTTATTCATTTTTTTATTTATTTATACTCACTTAATATAATCTTTGTGAAATTAAATTAATATTTTTGTCTAGAAAGTGCTTCTTGATTTAAGAATTTGTAGATATTTGGACTAGAAACAAGACAAAAACTCTGAGTAAGACAAAACATTTTTTGCAGTGTTTCCATTTTTCTGATTCCTCACCTGTGTGTCCGTTATTCCTCAGCATCTTCATGGTGTGTGGAAGATTGAAGTTTATCAGGTCAAAAGGTCCCAGTTCTTGACTTTTAATGGTTTTCTGTGTATCGATGTTGATTGGAGACTGATTATGTCCATTACATTTGGCATAATGTTTACCCCAGTGAGAGGGAGAGTTTTCTAAAGAAGAATAAAAACACTTACTGGGAGTGTAGTTCACCCAAAAATGAAAATTCTGTCATAGTTTACTGACCCCTTGAGTGAGAGTAATTAGTGTGGAATTTTTCATTTTTGGATGAACTATCCCTTTAGGAACTTAATGAGGAGAACAGTTTATTTATAGTTGTTTTAGTGTGCGAAAGAACATTTTTTTTTATTATAAAAATTTAATGTTTAGTAATTACAATCATTACTGTTGGAATTCATCTGTAAAAATAAGCCAAAACTGACAAAAAATGTGATAATAATTTTCTATGTTTCATAAAAGATGTCGTCCAGTGAGAACATACTGGGTACCGAATATACATTGCCCCAGTAACTAATTATTAAAAGTTTAAAATAACAATTTTACAAGTTTAATTCAAATTGTGTAATTGTTTAACAATAAAATAACTGTAGCTGAATTTTCAAGAAGAAAAAAAAAATCAAGTAAAATGTTGCTCACCACAGCCAAAGTAGCACCAATCTGAAATAGATGTGAACGTTGAATAGACAACAACAACAAACAAGGTTAGCTCTTGTAAAAGAAATTCATTTTTAGATGACCTTTATCTATTGGAAACTTGTTTAAGACTCTTTAAGACGTGTGTGTATCTGTGTTCACCATATGTTCGCCATAAAACCTGTGTGTACATTTTCTGTACACAACTATATTCTCTAGGTGCTTATCTGGACTTTGTGTTTATCCTAAGGATTTCCCTTATCTGCCTATGTAAGGGTGAACATATTTCTTTTTGGGTCCATATAACTGAAATTAATGATTACTTAAGAAAGATGTATGGTTGTTATGGACATATAGCAGAAACGGCAGAAAACGCCTGACGTAAATGCAGATTAGGCCTTATTAGGATTTGACCTCGCAAGTAGTACAAACTAGATAAAAGGGTGAACACACTTTGCTTCAGTGTCTCACTCTGCAGAAACTGTTGTTGCTGTATGATTGTGACCTTCTTTATAAAGAATAAAACTTTGAAAAGACATCCAGGGTAAGACTTTGTTTCTTGACCACTGAGAGAGCCTCTTTAAAGATTTTGCCCCTACACTCTCTAAACTGCTTCAGACTCTTCTTCACAGAAAGAATCTCAAATAGTTTTGAGAAAAGTGGAAGGCGAGTAAATGATGACATTTCATGAGTGAATTGTGCCTTTAAAGGAGACCTATTATGCAAAAATAGCTTTTTATAAGGGGTTCAATCACAGTTGTGTGAATATAACCAGCTTCTAATAGTAAAAATTTATTAATTTTATTTTAATTATCACACTTCATAAAAACACTGGCTGCGTCTGAAACCGCCTACTACTCATTGGGTACTGCATTTGAATTTAAATGTACTACTCTGCTGTAATAAAAGTGCGTACTATACAGTATGAATGAGAGCAGTATGATTGGAATTCGGACGTACTACATCCGCTATTTTGTCATAATTACGTGACCTACCTGCGTCAGTTGCGTCGCTTCACTCCCAATCATGAATTCTGTTGCGGGGCAGGGCCGGAGTAAGACTAAAAATAAAATACTCAGACGAGGATTAAACCCCGGTCCATGGCGTTGTAATCTAACGTGCTAACCACTGGACCATCTGAGTTATATGATTAATAAACTGCAGGCTGGTTATATATAAACAGAGCTGCGGTAAAATGATGAATAAGAAGACCGTGGTCAAATAAATAAATTAATTTAAAAAGTGTGACTGCTGAGAGCAACAGATTCTGGAGCTAGGGACACTGGCCCTCGCGGCCAAAAAATGGACCGGCCCACCGGGAATTCTCCCGGTCCTCCCGATTAGCCAATCCGGGCCTGTTGGCGGGGCGTCATGGGATAGTGCAGCGTGCATGGGATGCACACTTAAGAATCTCGCCGGAAGCAGTAAGTCATCCGTGTACTTCTCGCATTCTGATTTTTGAATTTATGAATTCGAACATATACTACTCGGCTCACATACTGATTTTAGCGTATTATACAGTATGGAAGTATGTGGTTTCAGACGACGCCTTTGATTGACATTCTCCCTTTGTGAAGTTGCGGTCACACTGGGCTTTTCCTCCCCTAGACTTCTATTCATACGCACGCGAATGCGTTAGACCGGAAAAGCAGGGTCATGCGTTAGGTTTCGCAGGTTGTTGCGGAGCAAAGTTCAAGTTTGGTGAACTCTGACCTGCCGAAATCGCATTACTTGACTGCGTGAGACCAACCGAGGATCAAAACATGACATTTCTGGACAGAAATTTAAAACATGAAGCAATCGCTATGTTTTTTTTAATGTCTAATCATTTTGTTTATTCCCGCCCCTTTTCACAGCCGCATGACAGAATTTCGCCCACTAGTGACCATCTTTCCCTTATTAGCATAGAAGTCTTGTTTTTGAATCTGCCACTATGCTGACAGTCACATAGGCGTTTGTAGCTCCGCCCTCTTTTGAAACGAGCACAATCTCATTTGAGTTTAAAGTGACAGTCACCAAAGCAGCACAATTAGAATCAAAGCCAAAAAGAGGCAATTTCAAAGAGTTATAAAACATTATCTGAGAAATGTCAGCTGAAATTTCACATACAGTTCACACTCTAGAAACATCGCAGACTTATCTTGTAAAAAGTAGCATAATAGGTCCTCTTTAAGTTTAAAGTGAGATGAGTAGCCTTCACAAGTGAGATAAGACATTTAACCACTTAAACTCTGCTGCTATTTGGGGATTTCCGCCTGGATTTTGCCTACCCAAATTTAAAAGCTTCCCAAATCCACATACAGAGGTGTAAATGCAAAAATTCGGTATCATTTTAAAGAAAACCCTTTGAATTTTCATAAAACACTATTGAAAGTGTTTAAAATATCTGTATATGTCACCTGTGTTATAATAAACACCTAAAAAAAAAAAGAGTATTTTTTTTTATAAACTCAAATTTGAAAGTGTACCTTTTAGGTTCTGTTTGGTCTAGCATGCTGTAATTAATTTTGGTGGTTCCTGCACATGTCTGTAATCATAGGAAAAAAGGAAAATGTCTTTACCATAATCTATGCAAAAGTTATTGCATTCCAACTGATGAGAGGTGCTGTACAAGCCACAAAGATCGATCATTGTTTTCATATTTCACTATTCTTTTGTTTGATCAAACATAATTCACTGTGTTTGGACCACATCAGACATATAAAAGGATTACTTATGCACATCACCTCAAAAACAGAGGACAATGGCCCTGAAGCACAAAGCATAAGGTAAGAGATGACAGCTGTCTGTGCTATCTGGGGCTGCTTATTGATCATGAATGTATTGTTTACATTTCTGCGCCATGGAAACACCACAATTCATTCAACAACTGTTTGACATATGAATATAATTCAGTAAAAAGAATGCTAGAACTGTATGAGCACCGGCAAGAGCTTTCATTTGAGCTATAACTTGTACATGTGTGTAGTATCCTGGAGTAACCACAAAAGGTCGTTATTGGTTTATACATGTCATATAAAAAAATATGAAAATGAACCAATGTAAAATACCTAACTCGGGTATCCAAAATACTGTGTATTTAAGTGTAAATAACTTTTATACAGTAGAATAAAAACCAAAGTGATGCATATGTGCATAAAATATAGATTCTACACTTTCAAACGACACCATTTACGAGGGTCTAGTGCAACGCTAGCCCTTTAAATCTGAAAGCGAAAGTCGATGACGTCATGGATCCGCAGAGTTTAAGTGGTTAATTTAATAAATATAAATATTTAAAAAAATAAAATAAAAAAATAATAATAATTTAATAAATATGTAATTCATATAACACAATGTGCACACACTTATTATTATTATTTTTTTGTATATTATTCTATGTAGACAATTTAAATAGAAGATCCAACTAACACAATACGAAGGCGACAGAAAATACTCACCCTTTGCAAAGCAGAAGCCAGTCAAAAGATGAACAGCCACACATGTCAGAAGCATCTGCTTATTTAACATGTTTAGCATCTTTCGTTCGTATTGCATGTTTAATCAGAAGGTCTTTAGAATAAAAAATTAAAGAATAAAAAAAATAAAAAAAAATAAAAATTCTGGAAATGTTGGTGGAGTAACACTGATATCAAGATAAATTAAAGATGTAATATTTTAAATGCAACTTACCTCTGTTGCAGGGTGAAATATCTGAACTTTGTGAACAAGCATGTGAATGTATTGCCTCTGAATAATTGTGAGTTTAAATACAACCTGTAAAGGAAATGAGTTAGGTTCGTGTGTTCACACACTGTGATCTGTGACAAAGGTAACGGAGGAGATGACTCAGTTTGAGAACAATATACTTAAAAGAAAGCAAACACAAAAATGAATTCCATGTATAAGCAATTAATTCATCAGACTCTATTAAATAGCTTCTTTCAATAACCTTGACATATAATTTCTTTAAATATGATCAACTAAACACTGAAATGGCATAAATAAACTCTTGATCTTGTGAACACACTTGAACTGACCACAAGACTATTCAGCACTCCATAACAAGAAACAGTGCTCATTTATTTAGTTCACTCTCCATTGCATGACTTTGGAAGTGGGCAAAAACTAAAGTTGTCAAAGTTTCCACACATTAACCAAGTTTTCACAGCTTGAGAGAAGTTTCCGTTGAATGAGCTGAGCATATAAACCGCGGTTGTTAGTTGGTCTATTTGTAAGGGAAACTAGTACAAATAGTATATTGAATAGAATAAATAGCAGTGCACACTGTAAGAATATCTATAAATTCTTTAAACTTATTATTCTATAAATAAGTTTTAAAGGTTTTGTGTTTAATGTTGTAATTTTTCCCCAATTATTTATGATTTTGAATTGCATCATGCGACCGTAATCTTACTTCCAACAACTTTTAAGTTTTGAAAAAGTGACTTTTATGAACATTTGTAATAGCTTAAAGTGATATATTGTCTAGATTGGAGTTGTATATTATGCAACAAAAACGTTTAATAAACTTCCGGTACATTTTCTGTTATTTTACACACTTATTTCTCAACATATTAGTTCAAAATACTACTAAAATGTCAATAAAAGTCACATTGTTAAACTGTAGAGTTGAATTTTCAACATCAAAGGTCGACAGAGCACAGATCAAGTTCTAATAATGCAGTTCACAACCAAAAAAATTGTGTATTAAAAAATACAGAAAGCATGAATGAATGTTTATTCTGTTTTTATAAAGTGCTTTCTTTACTTTTGTCCATTTAAAAGGTGTACATTTGTAGAAAGTTACATTTGTGCCACCAGCTGAAATTACAACATATAGGGCCCTATCATACACCCGGCGCAGTGTGGCGCAAGACGTGGCGCAATAGTCTTTTGGTAGTTTCAGTTTGGCGCAAGAGTGGTTTTGAGGCGTTGCGCTACGCTGTTTAAATAGCAAATGCATTAGCGCTCATTTGTGCGCTCATAGGCGTTCTGGTCTAAAAAGGGAGGCGTTCTGAGGTGGACCGCTGGCGCGTTGCTATTTTGAGAAACTATAATAGATTTTTCATTAGACACAACTAACCCGGTCTAAACTCCGGCGCAGAGTTGCACCTCGCTTACACACTGCTTAATACACACAAGATAGGCAAATATCTTTACATATGAAAAAATGTAAATATTAAGGATATATATATAGGATATAATAAGAATGGATATAGAATATAAATATAAAGGAATAAAATATTACAAAACATATTATTTTCCAGCCTACATAAATATGAAAAACCACTGCTTTTATGTCTTCTTCATCTCGGGAGGCTTTTTCTGTTCATTCATAACAATTTGCTTTTGTATAATGTTATTATTATTAGCAGTATTATTTATTATATCCATATTTATATTTGTTTTATTAAAAACAAGCTTAGATTTGCCCACCTGTCAGGTTTTAGACCATATGGGGCACAGCATGTGTTTTAGGATATAACTCAGGTTTTTGAGCACACTTGGTTATTATTGTTCATTTATTCGTTTGCTGGAAATTAGAACTGAATTTAGAAATAGTTTTGAAATGAATATTTGCGCTTAACAAACAAAATTATTTATTTATAGACTAATTGATGTGCGTAGAGGTTTCCCTATCCAAGAGCGAATGTGAAAGTAGTTCCATTATCTCTCATTCTCACGCAGTAGATGCTCTGTTTAACAGTTTCCTGTTAAAAAAAAAAAAACTGTTAACTGTTAGCTAGTGAAATGCTCAGTTTTTCCACTTAGACTTACTTTACGTCCTGTAAATAGCGAATGCGCTCTTGGCGCGGCGCAGCTGACCCTTAAAGGTATGGAAGATGACACTCTAATTGGTTTATTCTCAAAACACACCTATAACTCATTAAGAAAATAAACTCAACCCTTTTAGACCATGGGACACGGCGCAAAGCGGATTTTCCCATCCGTAAATTAGCAAAAATGTGTTCTGACACGCCCTGAAAGCGTTTGCGCCCTGCGTTTTGCGCTCTGCGCATGGACCGTCAAAATAGAGCCCATAATGTATAACAGTATTTTTGCTAATAAAAAATGTTTCATTAAAAGCGATGCATTATTTAATAAACAGATAACTAAATAACTACAAATGAAATCTTCGAAAAGTGTGAGATCTTCAGAAAAATCAAATCAGAAAAAAAAAATCAGGAAAATAAATCATTCTGATGTTAGGGTCAGTATGAGTTCTGTGATCTAAAGAAGAGTCTGGTGTTCACCAAGGCTGCATTTATTTGATCAAAAATACAGTCAAAAACAGAAGCATTATGAAATAGTGAGAGCTTTTGCATTCATATGCAATTGCTATAGGGTATATGCGGAGGTATGCGGAAGGACTTTTAATTTGTCAGTAACCTGGGTCAAGCGCTTCCGGTGAACTGTATGCCGTTACAAAATCATCGCGTTTAAGGTCTGTTATCTTTAAAAATCAGTGATCTCCACTGGCTGAGTGATATCCGATATAAAGTGGGTCTCAGATTGTATTTATAGCACTGCATTACATTCCATTTCCCCCCGCCATGTCTTTAAAATATGAACATTTATTTTACCCCAGTATATTCAATGAAGCTTCTGCGCTAGCTTGCTGATCCTGATGTAATTAGCTTTTCATCTCATTATACGCTTGAGCAACTATAATCTATTTAACTGATTGTATTTTAATAACATTACAACATCGATGCTGTGAAAGGAACCGTATAAAATGGAAAAAAGTCACATAAACCAATCACCGAAAGTTTATCAGTATGGGAAGAAACACTAGCTCTGCATATACCCTATTCATTAACACAGCCTGAAAAGTCACTGTTAAAGTGGCATCAAATGGTAAACATTAGAGTCCTGGCAGTTCCTCAGTTACGTTTAAGATAGATTCTTCAGGGTGAAAAGTTTAATCATCTGTTGTTCCTCTGTTCATCCAAAAGACGGCGCTGTGAAGAATCCATTTCAGAGAAATGTATTCACTGTCCTGTAGAAGAAACACACACACAAACATCAGCGTCAACATGAAAGTACGCTTTAAATCAACATATTTAGTGAATATTCTGCATAGAAAGGAGGGTTCTGGATGGATGTTTCATCCTTACTGGTAGAGAGAACCACTGAGCACATCCAGAACTCCACCTAAATGAAGCACAAATTAAGTTCGAAATGGTTATCCCAAAATGATTACATTAAACATACAGTGCTGACATATAAACTTATCTGAATCTGCCAAAAACATACTGCCAAAAAGAGTATACAATGACATTTTTCTGCATTAATCCAGTGTTTTAATTGCATCATCCTACCTGGTTGACAGACGGTCTCACAGATTACAGGACAAATATAGCAGTAGGAGCAATCCTGTGGAAGGAGAGATGAAGTGTAAGTAATGCATCTACACGTTGATGTTTTTTTTACTTTTGTTAACTTAAAAGTCCTTGGCTGTCCATGCTCATACAGCAGCTATATAGGGGGAGACCGGGTATAGCTGAAACACAGTTGAAACACTACCAATTCCACTAATTAAGGATCAGATTGAAGTCATGTAACATTTTCAGTTTCCTCAGGTATCCTTAACAATCACACATGGAGATTTTCTAGTCAGTCTTACTATCTCTCCAGAAGCTACAACAGAAAATCTAATTCTGAGGTAAGAAAGTAAAAAATAAATAGCAAGATAGTATTTTGTTTAGTACCTCTACCATTGTAGATGATGCTATGAGAGTTATATCAGATCAAACTGTAGTTTCTCTAGTAAAGAATGGTGTATAAACCTCCGGCTGATTTCAAAGCACCATGCTAATACAGCTAGCTAAACAACAGATGACAGTGGCGGGGTAGGTTGAAACACGCATTTTGAAAGTATAGACCTTTTTCATGGCTGCTGCATGGAGGGCGCTATAGCGACCAGCGTCTTCCGGTAGAATGCTAAAAACTTCCGTTTACAACGTGTACAACTGGTAATTTGCGCTCCGAAAATGGGTTTCAATAACGTTTTTAATGGATAACAGAGTGTTTTTGTGACACACAACTTAGAAATGTGTCTGTTAAAGCCGTTATAATCTGTCACATGTGGTTCAAGCGCGTCAGAAATACGAGAAAAACTTTCTCCTAGTTCACGTGTCTGCCGTCAGAAATAACGTACAGTGTGTGTGTGTGTTTGTGTGTGTGTGTGTGTGTGTGTTCCCAGCCTGTCAGCTGTTAGCTCAGCGGCTCTTTAACACACACACCAACACACACACACACACACACACACAGAGAGAGAGAGAGAGAGAGAGAGAGAGATAGCAGCAGCATCCTATGCTGGTCACCAGCATCACAGCACCAGCATCCCATGCTGGTCACCAGCATAATACCAGCATCACAGCACCAGCATCCCATGGTCACCACAGCATAACACCAGCATCCCATGCTGGTCACCAGCATAGCACCAGCATCCCATGCTGGTCACCACAGCATAACACCAGCGCATCACAGCACCAGCATCCCATGCTGGTTATCAGCATACCAGCACCAGCATACCAGCACCAAAACACAACATATGCTGGTCTTGCTGGTGACCAGCAATGCTGGTCTATGCTGTTTTTTTCAGCAGGGGAGAGAGAGAGAGAGAGAGAGAGAGAGAGAGAGAGAGCAAACCAGAGTACTGGCATGAAACTTAACAGGTAACTTATGAAAGTCGTGCAATTTACAAAAATGACCAATAAAAGTCTGTTATTGATCCTCTGCTGGCTGATTTGCTGTTCATTCTAATCGCGAGCCGTTTGTGTTTTATTTCGTGTGTTGTATTCACCACGGTTTGTGTTTTTCTGTCATTTTGAAATGACACTAGCCTGTGTGTCCGTGGCACAGTACAGGCTACTGTGTGTGTGTCATACATTTTGGTGAATTACATTTGTTTGGGCTGGTTATATATTTGAAATAAAAAGAAAATGTTGACTTTAGCGATGACAAGGCTTCACTTCATTAAAACGGCAGAAGATGCCGTCTGACAACGAGGGGAAAACGCCTCACAGCAGCTGTTTTCCATCCTATTAGATCGCATTTCTTTAAGTGATCAGTCCAGGAGATGGTGCTGATGGACAACAGTATTAGTTCAAAGAGGATAAAAACTATCTTTCAAAGCTGTCCAAATGTGACTGTTTACACGCATTAGCTGCCGACCGGAAGTTCTTCGCATTCTCCTTGCGCATACACGCAAAGCATAATGGGTAGTTTTGCATTCCAAGAAAAAGGTCTATACAAACACTTACACACACATACATATGTATGTGCACATACAGACATGCACACACAAACGCACATGTGCATGCTCAAACACACACAATATGCACATTTACATGCAATATTCACATTTATTGTATTGTTGCAGTCATTTATTTACAATTAAACTGTTGTTGTGGCATATCACTTGTAGTACGCTTAGTTTTTGTGCATTTTGTCTACCTGTTACAACTTACCCCAGTATGTGTTATAGCCTGTAACAAATGACCACTTTGTGTTTGTCATCATCTCAATAAGTCAGTGATATAGTTTAATAAATTTAAATAGTTGAAATTTGTAGTAAACAAATGTGGGTACTTTGCCTAAAAGTTTCAGTCATGTAGCTAAAAAAAGGGTAGTTTTAGGTGATAATGAAAAGTTATGTTACAATCATCCCTGGTCTCCCCATATTGATTTAAATATTTTGGTAAAATGATGAAACTATATTTACTTCACATTGATGGCAGTGTTCTGATGTGTCTCCCTCCTCACAGGGACATTTGTCGCAGGTATCACAGTGCTGAGAGCAAAGAGAGAGGAAGTTCATGAGTCGTGCTAAAACAGGCAACATTAACACCTCATGCACTGATCATTGTGCCCATAGACTTACATTGCAAAAGGCTGTCATTGATTTAACATTGGACCAAACTTTGTGACCTCATAACTTTCCATCAGACAGACTTAATGCAGGGCTCATTTAACTAAAACTATGAGCAGCCAATCACTAACTTTCTAGACACACCTTAACAACCAGATTCTCCGCCTTAGCAACTGCCTCATAGACAATTTTGTTGATCCAATTACAAGTAGACACAATAAGTACAGGTAGCCTATAGACAGTGTTTAAAGTTCTCAATCTCTACTGAGTGGAAATGCATTTGACTGGATAGCTTTACTCTTATGAACACTCATAAATGAATCCTTTCAACCAGGTGTTAAAAGCCATCCACTCTCGATGTTCTTCACGACAGAACATGTTGGTTAGGGGATGTATTGTGAAAGAAGGCACTTACATTTAAAATTGTGATCAAAATCATAGCTCCCATTCACATCATTTTAATTTACTTGTTCTCACATAAGTCATAGTAGACATCTAGAGATGTTTTTAATGCATGCCAATACCAGGTGTAAATGTTGATGAAGAGGTTGGTGGTATGACAGTATATATCATTACAGTGAAATAAGCCATCCACTGTAATATAAATAAATATATAAATATACAGCCATTAAATATATATATATATATATATATATATATATATATATATATATATATATATATATATATATATACAGTTAAAGTCAGAATTATTAGCCCCTATTGGATTTAAACTAATCTATATATTTCCCAAATGCTGTTTAACAGAGCAAGGAAATTTTCACAGTATGTCTGATAATATTTTTTCTTCTGGAAAAAGTCTTATTTGTTTTATTTTGGCAAGAGTAAAAACAGTTTTGAATTTTTTAAAACCATTTTAAGGACACAATTTATAGCCCCTTTAAGCTATATTTTTTCGATAGTCTACAGAACAAACCATCGGTATACAATAACTTGCCTAATTACCTTAATCTGCCTGGTTAACCTAGTAAAGCCTTTGTATGTTACTTTAAGCTGTATAGAAGTGTTTACTGTCATTATGGCAAAAATAAAATAAATAAATTATTAGAAATGAGTTATTAAAACTATTATGATTAGAAATGTGTTGAAGAAATCTTCTCTCCGTTAAACAGAAATTGGGGAAAATATCATTCAGGGGGGCTAATAATTCTGACTTCAACTGTATGTACATATATATATATATTAATTTAAGTGTATTGTGCGACATGTAAACAAGTGGGTGTGGCTAATTCACATGCAGTGTGTGATGCTGATCATGAGACTGAAATGACTGTCCTGAAACTTTGAATGTGAGTACAGAATAACTCTGTGTACAACATCCCTCAGTAAGATACAGTCACTCAGGCCCGGATTGGCTAATCGGGAGGACCGGGAGAATTCCCGGTGGGCCGGTGCGTTTTTTGGCCGCGAGGGCCGTTGTCCCTAGCTCCAGAATCTGTTGCTCTCAGCAGTCACACTTTTTACATTAATTATTTTTTTTACTTGACCACAGTCTTCCTATTAATTATTTTACCAAAGCTCTGCTCTTTTTATCTATTTTCCCGCAGCCTGGTTAATGATTATATAACTAAGACGAGCCACTATTTTACGCACAGATGTTGTGGTCCAGTGGTTAGCGCGTTAGGCTATGACACTGCGGACCCGGGTTTGATCCTCGTCTGAGAGGGTTTTTTTTTTTTTTCATTTTTATTGTTAAGACATATAATACTGTTAGGGTTGTTGAACATTTGAAGTTCTAAAGCAGCTGTTTTCTCAAAAAAATACGTGATAGTGTCATTAGAAACTGATTTGGAAATGACCTTATTTTAATATAGTCAGTCGTGAACTGAGGTGGGCCGGTCTGAGGCTTGAAACTCCAGGGCTGAAAAGGAGTCCCACTCCGGCCCTGCAGTCACTTGTGTTGAGCTAAAACCTCTGCCAACTAACAGCCTCCCCCAGGTCCTAATGCACACCTAACAACATGATTGATTCACTAGGGATGTTGTAATTTTTAGACTAGGCAAATATAAAATACATAAATAACATGGTTATATTATAAACGGCTTAGACTTGTTTCATATTTTGGTCAGAATATATGAAAAATAAATTGGCTTAATGTTTGTAAGTATTTGTTATGAGTAGATTTTCTTAAATACAGGGTATATGCAGGAAACAGAGAGTGAAATCCAATACCTTTCAAGACATTTTTGTAGACTCCTACCATACATTGTAAGGCTTTATCGCCACATAAGGTTTCAATCAGTAACAATAGCTACATTTTAACTTCTAGTATATTTACTAAACTAATCCTTAACTAAAACATTATTTATGTACAAAATAAAAATGCTAATCCAGCAGAAATAACAGTGTTGCATTGGTTACTGCGGTAAACAAAGCAGTATGATGTCAAACCTAGCAGGATTTTATTGATTTCAAATAGCATCCCAATATTCACAGATTAAATTCAGGCAAACTTGAGAAAAAAATAGCTTTTAAGGGCCTTAAATTTCTCTAAATTGATTTTTTTTTTTACTTTTTCTACCTTTTAAGACCCCTCGGACACCCTGAAATAACCTATTTAAATAACTATATAGTGACATTGTTACAGTAAAATAAAATTGCTCATTCCATGAAATAAAATGTTGGTCATACACACTTATGATAATGCACTTGTGACAGGATCATTATAAACATGTTAATATGAGGTTCAGTAATTTAAGTGCAATGTGGTAACAGCACGGTTTACCTCACAGACTGAGCAGAGTCCACAGAGAGACCCGGAGCTGTACTGTATATCCTCCGCCATGACTGCCTCTACAGTCTCTATGTTGTCCTCTTCAGCCGCTTCTACATAGCAGAGGAAAAATGAGCTTCAAGAAAGTCCTTCATTACTTAGTTAGTTATGGGTAAGGCATCATAGTTATATTCAGTAGTAAAGCCTCTTCTTCTGTGTTTTAAACTTGGTTAGGACACTGTTTAAAGCCCATCTGTTAAGCAATGAAGTCTGAGTATTTTATTCCCCTGCTGATAAAACAGCTTAAACCAGCCTAGGCTGGTTGGCTGGTTTTAGCTGGAGACCAGCCTGGTTTTAGAGGGGGGCCATTTCCCAGCTGGTTCCCTGCTATTTCCATCCTGGTCTTTCCTGGTCAGGTTGGAAGATGACTAGCTAAAACCAGCTTGACCAGGCTGGGAGCCCAGCCAAAACCAGCTATGTCCAGCTTAAACCAGGCTGTCAAGCTGGTTTTAGCTGCTCATTTTCCAGCCTGACCAGCTAAGACCAGGCTGGAAATGGCTGGAAACCAGCCTGTAAATGACCAAAACCCCTCTAAAACCAGGCTGGTCAACCAGCTTAGGCTGGTTTGAGTATTTTTTTTTTCAGCAGGGTATAAATGGTAAGTAAAAGCGCTCTGTGAGTAAAAACCTGCATATCACTGGGGTAAGTACACTGACAAGGCACCTCAGTCAAGGAGTGTTCCTGAAATATGTGTTAGCAATGTTTAGTCATCATTTAGCCTTAGGGTGCTTTCACACCCGTGGTTCAGTTTATTTAGTCTGGATCCATAGATATATACACTAGATGTTGCATAGGGACCCTAAGCATGCATCAATAGCGCCGCCACATTGGTACAGTGCTCCCAGGACAAATGTCATTCAACCGCACTAGTCAAGACAGTGTTATTACGTGAAAATGTGGGACATAAGCGCTGTCTACGGGTGTAGTAACGAGCAAACAAAGAAAACAAAGCACAAAGGCAGAACATTTCATAGGTAATATTAAGTTTTTTTTCTGTTTTTGTATGTTCTGAACTTTTGTGCTAATCAGGTAACGTTTTTGTTGATAACAGTCACTTACTGCATTCACCATAAGGCAAAGCAGCTCCAACTCGCTCTAAACACTCGGCTTATGCTAGTTTTGTTGAATAAAATCAGCAAACAATGCAAAAGAAATATGACAACGAGATGCTGCGCTGCCAGAAACTTGTATTATCGTCGGCTAACGTTAGTGAAAGAGTCGCTCGGGGGATTCATTCACAAACGAATCGCTCCCTCCGTCAGTATGAGAAGTGAAAGCAGGAGAGGAGGTGTGTTTCAGGACATGATTAGATTAAATTTAACAGGGAGGGTGAATAGTACATTTCTGTCCACACAAACACAAGCTTTTTTGTCAGGAATGCCTGTGCGGTCACTGATCCATCAATGTAGAAAAGTGATGTAAAATTATAATTTTCGTAATTAGAAAAAAAAATTACATACTAACATCCAGGAAAACTCCCGATCATAGATATATGTGTATATCTCTGGCTTTGGATGGCCACAGTCCTCCACTGTACCTTGGTCCCGCATTCATTTCAAAGGAGCACTACCCTGTAGCAAGATGGCGGCGCTATTGACGCATTCCGTCCAATAGACAACTATAGGCCAGGCGACATCTAATGTATATATCTATGGTCTGGATCAAGCTAAAGGATAGGATGAAGGATGAGATCTTTCCCTTTCAGCCATTAAAGTTGACATGAAATGGATGTTAAGTTTCCTTTTTTTTCCCCTATCGTGACTTACAATGAACAATGAAGTGCACAGATACATTGTTTAAAACTAGCATATATAAAATAAGACTAAGTTTGGCGACAAACATCTTTCATCATCTGAATGCGGTTAGATTAGAGAAAGCTAGCTGGCAGTGAATGATGGATACAGTAGCTTGATTAGATTTCTTACAGCAGCTAAAACTGAAATGCACTAGTTTTTGTAAACTTCAATTCATGTTGAACTGGTGGCCATATACGGTCACGTGATGCCCTGTAACATACTGTAAATCACATGTCAGGTTCATGTCAACAGCATTCAACCACAACAGACTTGAGTGGTTGAAATATTTGAGCTGCCGTTCAGATATAGTGGAGCTATTTCAGGGCCGATGTGTGACTTCATAGACTGACAAAGAGGAACACACACAGGACTTCACACAGCCAGCCATGGCTCTGTTCCAGAACTTACACAGACAACAATTTTAACTTTATAAAGCCTACAGTGATTTATTTGATTGACATATTTCTAAGGCCTGATGAACTTGATGCAGGACAAACGTTGTAATCTTTTTTTCCTGCGAGGTCATTTAAATATTTTTAGAGGTCACTCAGGGCATGTCCTACTGAATTTTGTTGGTTGTGAAACATTATTCCAATGTAGTCCAAATGATATGTTTTTAATTAAACAGAAACGTTTCTCACGTTTGTTGATCTCACTTTAATTTTTCTGCTGCAGTGTAAATATGTGGGATTTTAAAGCATAAAAACTTACTAATATTTTAATGAGAACTTGTCGTAATTATTGTATGTATCTTTCTACAATGCTGCCAACTTAATTATACTAACCTACAGCATGCTGAATGTAAACCTACTCACCAGGAAAAAAAAAGTTTAACAGCACCATCTACTGGACTGTAAAGAAAATGATTTAAACATTTAAAGGACACCTATTTTACCCCTTTTTCAAGATTTAAGATGTGTCTTTTGTGTCTCCAGAATGTGTCTGTAAAGTTTAAGCTTAAAACACACATCAGATTATTTATTATACCTTTCAGAATGTTGGAATTTTCTGCACTGAACACATTTTAGCTGTTATTGTGCCCTTTCCCTTTAATGCTAGTTCTCCCTGCCCACTGTTCCCATGTGCCTGTCAGAGTGTGCCTCAATCTCAACCTCTGCTGCGGCAGATAACAGACAGACATGAAGGAACCCGATCTAACGTAACATTTTTGGAAAATACTACAGTAAGAACTTTCCCAATGATTATTTGATGTATTTGTTGTGGAGTTAATCCAAATCTTTTTGCACCCCAAATACTGGGGTGTGGATTTAATTCACTATGACTGCGGAAACACAGATGATTTTCATCATAGGTGCCCTTTAAGTAAATAGTAAATAGTGTAGTAAAATATTGATGTTATTTTGAGGTGTATACATGTATCGATATACAGTATTATTGCTGTGGAAAAATATTGCAATACGATTCTATATCGATTTTTTTCCCTCACCCCTGCTATTACCAAAGTACTAACACTAATGGGAGGCAGAAATGTGATATGTTCACATCAAATGTAACTACTCTGTAAAAAAAAAAATCTGTTATATAACAGTTTCTGTATTTTGTGGTGTTTTCTGTTCATTTATGGTTGTGATTTGCCTTATGGGAGCTTGATCTCTGCTCTGCTCGACTTTTCAAAAGTCAACAAAGTGACTTGTATTGACATTTAGTAGTTTTAAAAAAATTCATTCTTTCATTCATTTTCTTGTCGGCTTAGTCCCTTCAATAATCCGGGGTCGCCACAGCAGAATGAACCGTCAACTCATCCAGCACGTTTTTACGCAGCAGATGCCCTTCCAGCCTCAACCCATCTCCAGGAAATGAAAAAAATTATTGTATAAGAAATAATATATAGAGAATTAAGTGTGTAAAATGTCAGAAAGTGTACTGGCAATTTATTACAAGGTTTTGGTACTGTAATATAGTCATTTTAAACTATTGAAAATGTCAATAAAAGTCACTTCTAGGTTTAAAGTTGTTGCAAGAAAGATCATGATCCCATAATGCAACTCAAAAATAAAAGGAGGGAAAAATAAAAACACGAATAACAAAATACCAAAAACAGCTAATTTATGGACATTTTTACAGTGTATATTTGAATATATTTGAATGTGATGAATAGTTACCTTCAGCTACAGTTTCTTCATCTCCAGCCTCTTCATCATCATCATCATCAGCAGCAGCATCTGCCTCTTCATCATCTTCTTCCTCCACAGCTTCTGCTTCCTCTTCAAGCAGTTGTGGAGAATCTTCTTCCTCCGCTAATCCTTCTTGTTCCTCTTCTGCTACGTTCACCTCAATTTTCTGCTCTTCTTCTTCATTCTTTTCATCCACATTATCCTCTTCATCTTCTGCCCCTTTGGTCTCTTCATCTTCCTCTTCTACTCCATCAGTCTCATCATCATCATCTTCTACTACTTTTGTTTCTTCATCTTCCTCTCCTGCTTCTTCTTCATCTTCTACTCCATCCGTCTCTTCATCTTCAGCTTCTTCTACTCCTGTCTCTTCATCTTCCTCTTCCTCTTCTGCTTCTTTTTCGTCTTCTTCTGCTGCTTCTACTCCTTCTGTCTCTTCGTCTTCCTCTTCTGCTTCTTCATCTTCTGTTGCTTCTTCTACTCCTTCTGTCTCTTCATCTTCCTCTTCTGCTTCTTCCTCTTCTTCTACTGCTTCAATCTCATCATCTTCCTCTGTTGCTTCCTCTTCATCTGCTATTTCAGTTTCCTCGCCTTTCTCTTCTACGTCTTCATTGGCTTCTTCTACCTCCAGATCTGCTGTATTCTGCTCCTCAGGTTCTTCCCCCTCTCCTCCGTCGTCTTCAGACGCGTTCCCTTCACCGGCCTCCTCCACTTTGTGACCTCCAGTCGGATCCAGACCCTTCACCTCCTCATTCTGCAGCCTTTCTTCAGCTTCAACTGAATCCCTGAACGTCCCGGATCCGAGCAAAGCTACGACAAGCCATAGAAGCCAACAGCGAGAAGCCACCATCTTGCAGTCGCTCTCTCACACAAGCGCAACAGGAAAAACCAGACTCCAAATATGTGTTTGCATCCACCCAAAAGCAAGCAGCTTCTAGTAGAGTTAAAGGATCCTGGATTGCTTAGAGAGAGAGGCAGTTTACTTGTAGCTGCAGTGGCTGAAGGGGTTTGAGAGACGGAGAGGGCTGTTCTCTGTTGTGGGATCACATGCACACTCGCAGCATTCAGAGAATGGTGTAGAACAGAAGAACACACTCATATGCTGATTGACAGGGCCACATGCACAACACACACTTCTGCAGGCCTCCATTATTATATCTGTGTGAGAGAAAGTGACTCAGTTAAACTGTCTAAGGAAAGTTTTGATCTAGTTTTGCTTTCGTTGAGTGTGTGGATTACTTGCCCAAAAATGTAGTGTGAGTAAACGTATCTGTTGGATATATTACTCAAAGCTTGAGTTAAAAGTAGCCCTCTTAAAAGTTTTCAAGAGTAGTGAGTAGGGATAAAACGGTATCAGAATTTCACGGTACGGTAATACCTTGGTTTGAATGGCACGGTATGGTATTTATTGAATAATTTACAGGAAAAACTAAACTAATGAAAAGACTCGAAAAAAGTGCCAAAAGTTTTATTTACCTTATCACTGAACATATTAATGACATACAAATTAGCCATCTATCTGTAAGTTTCGAAACAGGAACTTCAATTTTTCAATTTTAATAACAAAAAACTATTAAACCATATTAAAAAATAGTTTCAATTTAGTATTGTTGAAAACTCATTACATTCAACATTTAATCACTCACTCACTTAGATAGAGATGGGTTTTTTAAGGAAAATTATCATATAACTATAATCTGGTAAAAGCTGGGATGTCTGGGCATGTCCCCTGCAACAGAAAAAAACCCCTCTCATTTGGGACTGAGGTTTCTGGGACAGAGAGATATGATTTAGCCAAGGTTGACAGAAGTGGGTAACGTTGTCTTTCCACCACTTGAGAGGACAAGCCATGAGTGAGATAGAGGTCTCTTTGCGGTACAAGTCAATGTCTGCATCAATCTAACAAGTGTGCTGTGTTCTGCAGTCCCCATGACTGTTTTTAGTCGTATTCCCCGACTTATATTTCACCACAGTCTGGCAGTGTCTGCATATTGTTTTTTTCTTTGTCTGTCACCTTTTCTCCTTTATCGTATCTTTTTAGAAAGAAACCGAAATGCTTCCACACATCCGATTTAAAACCCGCTTTAGGTTCGATCATTTCCAGCTCTTTTTCTTCCCCGTTACTAGCAACACACTCCATTTCCGCATTACTGGATCTGTAGTGACAACAGACCGCAAAGGATGATGGCCACGCCTGGGCTGATGGGAATTGTAGTTCCCGCTACCTCCCGTTCGCTTCATTCGCCTAAGCAAACTTTGCTCAGAAATATAGTTTTATTGAGTCATGCGGCTACGGTAATATCGAAAAAAATTACTATTGTGGTTTGACGGTATTTAAAATATTGTTACATCCCAATAGTAGTGAGCATTACGCTGTTAAAAAGCTGATGCATTTACATCTAATTTGTGGATGTGTGTAAATGTAACATTCTGTAGTGCATTTATTGATTTCCCAGCAGGCACACAATGCAATAAGACATTAATATTAGGTTCGATTTAGGTTGTGATGTCAGGTGACCAAAATGTCTATCCAGTGTCTAAGGACAATGTTAATTTGATGTTCATTAATGGCATCAAATGACGCTGATAATTGGTTGATTTTAGGTTGTGTTACAAAGTGACCAAAATCCAACATTTTACTGTGCCCAAAATGCCTTGTTTACTCAAATGGATTAAGTTCACAGTACTCATTAGGATTAGTTTTTGAACTTAAATGATTTGCTGCAATCGGTTTCCTCAAATGGTTTGTTACCTCAGCGTTTTGAGTTTTACACACTGAAAAAAAAAATATTTCTGCAAAACCATTGCAAACTATTTAAATGTGTTGAATTTGAACAAACAAACTAAATTTAGTTATGTTTAACTTAATTTGTTTGTTTAAGTTCAGCCCAAATGAATTGTTTTCAAACACTTACCTTAAATAATTTAATAAATCCAATAAATCAACTTTGCAAAATCCAATGTTGAGCCAACACTTTAAACTAACGACATATTGACATCAAATACAGATACATCTGTCAGGTTTGGAAACTAAAATCCAACATCTGATAGACGCCATACGGTCAACACAATGTAAAGCTGTAATATGTTAATATTTGGCTGATTTTAGGTTGGACATTAGACATTGATGTCAACCCGATCTTTATTTCCAAACAAAATGCAATGTCCCCACAATGTTGGGGTATAACGTCAATCTGAGGTTATGTTGATGTCTTGTGCCTGCTGAGTGTTTAAGGCCGCTTTGGTCATCAAAAAGTAAACATCTGACATCTCATCAGTGACATGCATCCAAACACTCTCTGTGTAAAGTTTTTGGGCATCTTCTTGGACACTTTTAATGGTTCCAAAAGGTTTGCTGCGTTTATAAATCGCCATGTATTGAGGTAGTTCAGCATGTGTCAATTTACCTTCTATGTGCGATTTGATTGGACAGGAATCACAGGACTGATTTTTCTAATCCCCATAAACAAGAAGAAATAAAGTAGTGACTGCAGGTTGAAGGAAAGCAGTGGAGTAAAAGTACCAACACTGCACTAAAAATGCACTCAAGGGAAAAATTTGTAAAACTACTTAGTAAATTACATTTTCTGGAAAAAAAAACTACTCTATTACAGTAGTTTGAGTATTTGTAATTGGTTACTTTACACCATTGGTTGTTACTGACATCTACACTGTAAAAAGTGCTGGGTTCCACACAATTCCTTCATGTTGTCACAACACAAATACATTAAGTTCACTAAATAGTTTTTACAAATGTAAGTGGTTTGAATGTGAAACTATTACGTTGTCGCCAATAACCTTAAGTATTGTGTTGTTGCGACTCATTTTGAATAGGTAGTTTGAACAAGCAGCAAACGTACTGTAATCTAATACATTGGCAAAGCCATACAAGAACGGTTAGGCAAAATACAACAAAATCTAACACTGGTTTTGGCATTTTATAAGAAAAAGTTTGGGCACCCCTGCTTTAGTCATCTTAATCCTGTTATTGCACTTACACAATCAGATTAGATGAGTACAATCACACTGACATCTTAAAAAAACACACTAAACATTTTAAGTATACAGTAGCTCACTATATTTTAATGTGCTATTCTTACTATTAATAAATTATGACTTTTAGCTCAATAAATATCGAATTAGCTGCTTATTAAGTTAGCAGGAATTAACCATTATTAAGTTAGCAGGAAGTACACCGTAAAAAAAAAAAAAAAAACTGGGGTCCATACAGTTAATTTGAGTTGGGACAACATGAAATGATTGCGTTAACTTATTAGTTTTAGTTCTTATAATAAGTAGTTTAAACACATATCAAACATGTCAAAGAGTGTCCACACTGAAAAAAATAGTTTTGCTAAACTATTTAAATGTGCAAAAAATTAAACAAATTAAATTCAGTAAAGTTTAAATTAAATTAAATTCAGTCCAGATAAATTGTTTACAACCACTTAATCTAAAACATTTAGTAAATTTAAGGAATCATCTTGGAGAAAATTTTTTCCGTGCATGGGGAAAGAACAAATCACCAGCGTTATGCAAATTGAGTGAAGCCAGTCCTGTTTTGAACCTCTGCAGGGCTGGCTGGGTCTGCTGGGTGGAAAGCTAAATAAAGAGACCTTCAATAGTAGCGGCACACTGCACAATCTGACCTTCAGTGGATCACTAAGCTGCTGAAACTCCATCCCTCCCTCTCGCAGCTCCTTTTCTAAAGGTCACCTCTATACATTTAACCCACAGTCTAAGCTTTTAAATACTGCTGATTACAGCGGAGCTACTTTTTAAGTCACTGGTAGACGCACACGGAATCTGAAAGGCCAGAAATTAGCATATTCTTAGCCCATTATTTAGTCTTTTTAATTACTTATGTAAAAGTGTAAATATATATTTATTAATTTTGTTATAATCATTTTAGTTATATTGACTAATACTCATATGTGTACACACTCAAGAAATGTTTTTTTTTTTTTTTCTTGATCATTCAAACTGCTTATTTTAAATGAGCTGAAACAACCTGCATGTTTTACAGTGGACTACAAAAAATATTTTGCTCCTCGTTTAAACGACTTATATAAAGCGAGCTGTAACGACAAAATTCTTGAGTTTTCTTTTTTTTTTTAGGATAACCTAATTGTTTTTATGTTTTATCCTCTTTAATTACAGCAATACTTAGTCGATTTGTGTTGGAACAACATGAATGCAGCTTATGACAATATTTTTCTGTTTTCTAAGTAAATTTCAGTAAACACTGTGAGAGATGTGCTTTGTTTATCAAATAAAAGGATCGAATTGGATTTTTATTGTAAACCATAAATACAAGTGTTAAACTATTAATATTTAATGTTTTAACTTTACTATATTCCCAAAAACAATCCACATAACTGCAAAGATGTCTGCATTGTCTTTATTATTTATTTATTTATTTTTACAAATTGGTGCGCAGAAATAGGAAAAACTGTCAGATTCTGTCTAGCCCCAGTCCAGGGTTATTACTAGGGTCGAAAGGGATAAGGGGCTTAGTCCGAAAGAAAAAAGGTTCACCCGCATACAAACTGTAAGAACAATATATTCAAAGACCTTTATATGTTCTTTGTCCTCCTTATTTGGCATTTGAATCGCATTTCTCATTGTCTGTCATTTTCTATCATTTCTACCGAAAAGTCAATTTATAATCCGATATTAACTTAAAGCATTTACAGTAGAATATAATAAGCTGCATGAACTTACTGTGATTTAACTATTACAGAAACAGATTACACTTGTTATATCATATCTAGATAAATATGTCTAGATATCTACATAATTTCTAGAAAGCTAAAACAATTGACATTTTATCTGAATAATTTGCATGTAGTTACATTCACATAACGCACATGTTATTTTTATTTCACCAAAACTACACGTTTTATACTGTGAAACCAAATATTAAGCTTTATCTGTAGTTATAACTATTCAATTTTGTAAAACAGTTGTATTATTACCTCATCAGCTTCAACTCCTCAAAATAATGAATGAATGAGGACGGTGAAGGGATTGTTTTTAACACTTGGCGCATGACAACAGTCCCA